ATCACTTAAGTGTTTGTGAAAGCTGGCCTTCCCTAAGCAGATTCTTTTTCTGCCTAAGACAGAACCTTCAGCTCCTGCCACAGAGGCACAGCTTTAGAACTTGAGTTGTCTAGCAAGCACCCACAGTTACATGCATCAATCTATGCAAAATAAAAAACAAATGTAACTCCCTCAAAACAAGCAAAGTTAAAAAACAGACAGGAAAGAAAACCCCAAATCAAAAATACATCTTTTTGTATTTTAAGGGTAGCCTTTAATGACTGAGCCATCATCTCTCTAGCCCTCCCCAATATATTCTTAACATATATTTCCTTCTGTTTCTGTTTCTGTAGTTGAATTCTGATGGACTGAAGACTAGCTTCACTTTAGATTTCTCCTTTGTATTGGGAGAGAATAAGGAGAGAGCCAAAAAGCATGTGCCACATTGTCAAATTGCTAACTTTACATTTTCTTTCTAAAATTATGGAGCTGAACAGATGACTGGAATCTCATAACCAGCTAAATACAGAACATGATATGATGCTAAATTGAGTTCAAGCCTACAACTGCTTTAAGGACAAATATATACAGTAATGTTGAAACCTTTTGGATTGATAAATGTGAAGGAGATGTTTGCATGATCTGAAATATATTTTAGACTATTAAAGTTCAGAAAATGACAATGGCCTTTAGCTAGATATAGATAGAAGTCTCCAGGAGAAGGTAATTTACTTCTTTTCAGTCATTCTGTAGGTAAATGTACGAAGTCATATATACATTCCTTCAATTAATTGGGTCCCACTGACCACCAAAAGCTAGCGGCTACTTTGAGGATAACTTATTTACAGGTTATCTATACAGTGTGGAAGGAATAACACAAAACTAAAAACCTCTAGAAGTTGGATCCCTTGCCAACTTGTGATTTGGACCTGTGGCTCTCTGTGGGCAACAGCATCTCTACTACTCTTAAACTTATGGGAATGATAGTGAAGAATACAGTATCCGTATATACAGCCAACAGACCTGCTTAGGAGGCTGATGGTGAAAGAGATCAGTTTACTCCTAGAGGGAGTGGCTCTGGCTCTGGGAAGGCGGGAGTAGTTCCCAGTGAAAACTCAAAGAGTCAGCTATGACCTCACATTATTGTTCTATTGAATAGTGTCAAAGCTGTTCTTAATGTGAAGGTTAAAGACACATCATATTTATGCTAATGTAGAGTACTGAAAGTTACAGTGGACATGGAAAACTAGCCACACAAAATGACAGTTGTAGTTATTTTAACACAATTTTGATAGTATCAGTAATATTCTGTCATTTTACCTCTTGGTACTTGCCTAGGTTGGGCTTTCCAGAAAGCAGATGCTGACATAAAATTACGAGTGGGAAAGATTCAATGGGGAGTAACAAGTCTGAAGGGAAAAGGGGCGGGGGAGGCAGGGGTGAGGAGGGGAGAGCCACCATGAGATGATGCAGATTTGATAAAGTACCTGCTCAACAGTTTGGTAAGCTTGGCTTAAAGAGGTCTGGTGTTGCAAAAGAACGGCTTAGGCATGGTCCAACTGACTCGTCTGTGAAGGGCATCACTTCAGTATTAAAGCTTCAAGGCCAACAACTGGAAGATGCTGGCAGCCCACATTCCTTACAGCTGAGCAGACTGAACTTTCCTGGAAGAGAATCTGGGGCACATGTCCTACCCAGGATGGCAATGAGTGCAGCACTTGTAAACAATCAGGTGGCCACATTTGGAGATGGAATTTGATTGGGTTAGAAGGAAGTTTCAGTCAACTAAATTCTACAGTTCTATTTGCGTGCAGTAGCTTAGGGTAGTGAATCAGCATTAATTTGTTTGTTTGTTTTGATCAGTGGACTCATCGTTAAAAGATCAAGTGTTGAAAATATTACCAGATGTTGTTTAAGACCTCAAGAGAATATTGTCATTTCTTGTTTCAGATCTCTTGAGGATTTCTGTTTCATCTCCAAAGAGTGGCTCCCAGGGGACATGTGAGCATCTTGTTCTGTTGTGCACATACATTAGTTGACATGGGAAAAAGGTGATCAGAATGTCTTTTCTGCAGATGATGAGAAAGCATCATGATTTCATGCGGATGAAAAAGGTAAAATGGAGGTAATTCGGGTTGACTATGTATAACATATCATTATTTTCTCTCTTCTGCACAAGTGCCACCGTAGAGATAGCCAGGAAGGGGAAAGGAGACAAGGACTTGTTCTTTTTTCTAGGGTGCAATATTCAGCACAGTGCCTAACATTGTGGAGGTCCTGGCATTTATCATTACTTCCTGGTGACTTTAGCACTGATAAAGTTGCTTACTATCTCTGTCCTCTAGTTTCTCTTTCTGTTAAGTGGTGACTAGAGTCATGCCTACCTACACCAAAGAGTTGTGTGGAGGCTAGAATAATACACAACACAGGGACCAGATTCAGGAGATTTCAGTTGCTGTATGCTGGGGCTTTGTTTCATTGTTCACTTATACTGCCTCACTGGAAAATGTGTTGTGTCATTGAATTGTGTTATCTGCTCTATGAAAGTAGAGCATATTCAGAGAACCTGGGCAGGGGGGTGGTAAAATGAAATAATTGATATATAAACAGGATTCAAGTTGCCTACTTTGAGTCAGGTCTCTGATTTTTGAATGACTTCTTTTCCTTTCTTTCTTCCTTTCTTTTCTTTTCTTTCTTCTTCTTTTTTTTGTTTTTTGTTTTTTGAGACAGGGTTTCTCTGTGGTTTTGGAGGCTGTCTTGGAACTAGCTCTTGTAGACCAGGCTGGTCTTGAACTCACAGAGATTTGCCTGCCCCTGCCTCCTGAGTGCTGGGACTAAAGGCATACACCACCACCACCACCCAGTTGATTTCTTTTTCTTATAAGTAATAAAATCTAAGAACAAGTGAACTCAAGTGGCCAATGAAAATAAAGGACACAAAAATTTATTTCTAAATTATCTTTATAGATAACAAATTACTTAGAAATCTAATTTTTCTTTGCTAACATTAGGTGTCATTAGAGGTAATTCTATTCAGGGTGATACGGTAAAGGGGAGCTAGCACTTACAGTAATAATATCAATGAAATGGCATGCATATTATATTAGAATCTAAAACATATTGCTTTGGAACACATGACAGCAAGTTTTATTTCTATTATTGCTAGACTGTCAATGCTGATATTAGGTATTTCAAGATGGCCCAAATAGAGATCTGGTGAATGATTTGCAAAATATAAATATCAGGAAGACTTAACTTTTTAATTTAATTATTATCCAAAGATTAATGAACTTTGTTGTGTCTTGCTAGTTGAACCAGTTGTCCAGGCTCGTCTAATGTCTTCCTTATTTTAGAATTCTTCTCTGTATATATATGAAAGTAAAGTGAGAGATTTCCAGATATCCCTCCCTGCTCCCCTCAGGACATCTCCAGAGTAAGATAATTTATGAAGAAAGGGCTTGGTTATCTTATAAAAGATAGTTGGGCCAGATGTTTTGCTGGTCTGCCGTATCTTTCTTGTTAGAGAAACTTGCTATTGTTGTGGAATATCATTTTAACCAGGCAAAAGATGGGTTACATTTGTTTATGCTGCATTTGCTTAATTATCTAAGGAACGTGTGTTTAATTATGAAAAGATGCATTACATTTGTTTCTCCTTGCCTGCCTAAGGTATCTGATTGGTTTAATAAAGAGTTGAACTGCCAATAGCTAGGCATAGAAAGGCTAGGCGGTGTCGGCAGACAGAGAGAATAAACAGGAGGAGAAATCGAGGCTCCAGACAGGAACGAAGGAGAGAACTAGGGAGAAAGAGAGGGGCACACCTGGGGCCAGAAACCAGCAGCCCCTAGCCAGCCAGATGCTGGAGGAAGCAGCCAAAGTAAGATATATAGAAGGAAAGGAAAACAAAAGCCCCAAGGCAAAAGGGAGATGAAGAGAAACACACTAGGCTCAAAGAGCCAGCCATACACGAGCCTAAGGCAGGCTGAGCATTCATAACAAATAAAATTCATCGTGTCATGATTTGGGAGCGGGTCGGTGGCCTCAAGTTAAAAGCGTGGTACACACTGTCTCTTCTGAGAGGGAAAAAGATGCACAAAAAGTGATTCCTTACCATTATCAGATCTTAGTAATACCTGGGTATTGCCACAAAAATCCCACGTTGTGTCAGAATTTTCCTCTGTCTGTCTCATTTCCTATTTCTAAAGGCCTTTTTTTCTCTGTAAGGTATAGGGATATGTCCGAGGAATCGGCTGGATTCGTCAATCTTTCACTATCAAGAAGAGGGCAAAAGAAAGAGGCAGGTAAAATCCTACACTTGACTTTCAGGGCCGGGGAAAAAGTCGGTATGAACTATAATGACGCATCATTACGGCATATTTGTCTGAACCCCTAGAACGTACGGTCCTGAAAATGAACCCCAATGCAATCTGTGGACTCCAGGTGACAGTGGCATGTTATCGTGGGTTCAACATTTGTTACAAACGCGATGTTCTACTGAGGAATTTTACTGTGATTTAAAGCTGGAGATATACATACATACATACATACATACATATATACACGTATGCATACACACACATATCTGCGCACATACAGACACACGTGTATGTATACACACATATATGCATGCACACACGTATATATGTATGTATGTATGTATATATACCTATATTTGGTAGCTCATTACCTCATTCACGACTTGAACGAGCACTTTAGGACTGCCCTGAAGATGGATCTCTTTGAAATGTTCTGGGCTTGGGACTATGAAAAGGACGCCTTGTCCTCAGGTTCTCTAGGAATGCATCCTTTCCGCAGTGACGGTGCATTCGCTCGTCCGTCCCACAGTGAAACCTGCCCTCTCGGAAAAGTCCAATCAAGTGGAGCGACTGCTTTTATTTATTATTATTATTTTTCCCCTCCCCTCTTCTTTGGCCACCGCCCACTCCGGACAGGCTGGCATCCTCGAGGGCTCCCCGGGACTTGCCTGACTCGTGCATCTCCTCCCACCCAGGGGCGCCTTCGCAGCCGGGACGCGGATGGGACGCCGGCGGAGCCAGAGAGCATGCGCGTCCGCCCCGAGCATGCCCAGTAGCTCGCGCGGCTCCCCGGAGCTCCGGCGCCGATCGGCGAGCGACGCGGACGTCTCCGCGGGAGCCGGGGCAGCGACAGGAAGTGAAGCGGCCCCGCCGGGCGAGCGCGAGCGCGAGCGCGGCGGCAGAACCCGGGGCGGCGGCAGGGGCCGTGCGGCGGCGACGTCGTCGAGCGGGGAGGCCGAGGGAGCTGAGCGCCGGGGGCACACGGCCGCTCGGCAGCCAGACCCCGCGGGCAGCATGGACCACCACCAGCTGGGGACTGGCCGCTACCAGGTGGTGAGTGCGCGGGCCCGGGGCCGCGGCGGGACCGCCCGACGGCCTGCTCGGCACCCTCAGCCTTCTTCCCCGACGCAGACGCCCGGGAGACCCGGTCGTGGGGTTTCCACCCGCGGCGGGGCCGCTTGCACCGGCCCGCCCGTCTGGGGGCGTCGCGGATGGACTGGGGAGGGTGGGGTGCAGCTGGGCTGCGCTGGAAACCCGCTTTAGGGGCTGTGGCCCCTTGGGGGATAGGCAGGCCGGGGTGGGGGACGAACGTGCCTCCGTCCCGCCTAACCTTGTCATTTTGCCCTTTCCATTGTGTTAGTATCAAAGTGATCGTTTGCTGGGAAGGAACAAAATAATCTGTCCCTACGCTGAGTGTGTGTGTGTGTGTGTGTGTGTGTGTGTGAGTGTGTGTGTGTGTGTGTGTGTGTGGTGGGAGTGCAGCGTTTTATTACAAACAAATTTCGGATCTCGTTTGGAAAAATTAAGTTTCTATTTAATACAGAATTTACCTCTCAAGTGTATAAACCTCTTAAGTACATTTTAAATGAGTGAACCGTGCCCAGTGTGGTTAGATTATCTGTATTTTTTTTTCCTCCCTTGTGTATTCTAATGGTGTCTTTGGGGGATAACTCTGTCAGCAATATTTGCTGTGTTGCGTTTTCATTTATAAACTCTCAGATAATTTAGTGAAACCTGTCCAGTGAGGGAGAGGAGAGAAACATTCTATAAAATTGTACAGTTAGTCCCCATATGTCACCTTTCCTGTCTGTTTACATGTGTTGTGCAACCCAAGCATTTGTGCAAGTGCCTTTTGACAAATGCCAAGGATTGTGGAAGAGTGGATCGTACCTTAACTAATTTTTCACTTTTCTTTGGTAAGAGTTTATTTGCTGTAACATGGCCAGGTGATTCAGATTATGAATTTTCAGTATTTTCAAAATGGCTTAGGAAAAAAATGCCATTTTTCAAGTTATCAATTTTGGGTGGCATTATACTTTTAAAGACATTTTTCTAAGTGTTTGCAAAAATGAAATGCCGCTGATAAACGTCTTGGATAACCTTATCATTGATATTTGTTTTAGTTTTCAAATCTTTTCCATTTCTATTTGTGTCTCTTAGTAATATAAATTGATTGGAATTCTTTCTTTGGTCTGAGTTTTCTTATTGGGCTCAACCATAGTCGCTACTTAACAATAGTTTTAACAGTAAGCAGTCTTATGTTGTCTCTTTTGCTTTCAATAGATGTAACTAGTTGGAACTATTTTTTTTTTTTCTCTCTCTCTCTCTCATCATCTCTCCAGGTAAAATGTTGTTTACTTTTTGCTGTTAATATATTTCCTTCTTCTCTGAACTTTCAAAGTAGGTTGAAAATACCACAGTCTTTTTATTTTGTTTTTGGCTCCTTTAGAACTGAAGCTGTCCTATATAGACTTTGAATGGGTGGGGGTACTCCATAGAGTCAGAGGGCAAAAATCAGTCATTCTAAGTAAAATATTTATTTTAGATAGAATATTATTTTTTCTTTATAAGCAGGAGAATTACAGGATTTTTATCACATTCTAAATTTGCATTTTATTTCTTTTTCTTGTGCATTTACATAGTAAGTTTGTGTCTGGGACCATGGCATAGGTACAACAGAATTTGATGTTTTAAGTAGATTTTTTTAGCTAGTTGTCAGTCTGGAACCCTGGTTCATATGATGACCATGGCTGTTTTTTGGCTTCCTATAGCTCAAGCCTTATTTTGAAACTCTAGAATGATTATTGAATAGTGTTGGTTGCTGGGTGTGAAGAGATGGTTAGGTAGGAGATAGGGAACTATATGTAGGGCTGAAAAATGCTGTCCTATGCTACTTCACTCATTTAAAGATCTAAAACTCAGCTCTATATAGTGTTCTTGGGGGCCCGTTGGAATTGATCTACTGTTTTTAACTCTAATGTGAATTTTTATTATTGCTTTAGCTAGCATATTTTATGTTTTTTTGTACTTTTACATCCTACATGCACATATTATGTATGTATATATGTATAAATTTAAATCTGTATTCCCCTTAATGCCAGGAAACATGTTGTATTTTTCTCTTTGAACCTGGCTTCTTTCACTTAACATCTTACCACCTAGTTCCATCTGTCTTCCTGCTCCCTGTGAATGTTGTAGTTTTATTCTTTACAGCTGAATAAAACATCCTCATGTCTATCCTTGGCCTCCCTACTAGGATAACAGGCACAAGCCACCATTCCTGACTATAGAAATTGTTGTTTGTCCCCTCATCTTTCCTCTCCATTGTTAAACAGATAACTAACAGTAGGCAAAATCACAGCCACAAAGTCTCAGCACTTTTCTAACTTCAGGGAGAAAAATCGGGCGTGATGTATACTTTCACTGTGTTATGGGAAATTTAGTTGTGCTTGATAGGAAAAGAGTAATGTACCAAACGGTTAAGTAGTTAACTTGTCTTGCAGCTGCCAAACTACATTCTGGCTTTGATGTTCTCTATTTCGAAGGCTCATGTACCTACAACAAGCTGACTACTAAGATTCAAAAGATTTAAATGACTGTGTGCAATTTAGATTGGCAGTGTTAACTGTAGCAGCAGTTTCTCAGACTGTATACTAGAATGCCAACAGTAGGTGTTCTTGGAGTACATCTAGTGTACTAACAGTGAGAAATTCTTGAGTAAAAAGACAGTAGCTTAGATTTTTTTTTTTACCATAGTTATTTTTTATGTTTGACCACAAAGTATTTTTCTTTACATTTTAAGATAATGTTAACATTTCTACAATGTAAGTTTTCTATGAAATATAATTTGAGATATTTGTACTTTTATATCTGAAGAATTTAGTTATTTAGTTGCTCCTGATAAGAAGGAGGTTTGAAATGCTAAAGTCAAGTTGGGGGACTGGGATGCAGCTCAGTGATAGTCTACTTGACCTAGTATGTTTGCACAGAAGGCTCTGGTTTCATCTCTGCCAGTACAAAGGAACAAAAAGACTTTAATGCCATCTAGGCTTATGTAGGTTGTTCTGTTTGCAATTAAAAAGAAAAAGAAAAAAAACAACAAACCTTTTTCTTTTTTGTAGAATGTGTGTCTGTGTGTCATATGTGTGCTGGTCCTCAAGGATACCAGAAATCCCCTGGAGCTTTGGTTTCAGATGGTTGTAAGCCACTTAGTGTGAGTGCTGGAAACTGAACTCTGGTCATTGGAAGAACACCAAATACCCTAAACACTGAGCCATCTTTGTCTCTTCTTTAAGTTTTTATTAATTATTATTTTTTCCAGCCCAATCAGTTTCCCCTCGCTCCCTTTTCTTTTCCCAGTTGTCCTGAGAAGCTCAGGCCTCCCATGGACATCAGCCAGCCATGACACACCAAGATGCAGCCAGACTAGGCTCCTCCTCCAATACTGAGGCCAGGGGGGCAACCCGGCAGGAGGAAAGGGTCCCAAGAGCAGGCAGCAGAGTCAGAGACAGCCCCTCTTCCCTCTGCCTGGAGTGCCACAAGACGACTAAACTACACAACTGCAACACATGTGTAGAGGGCCCAGGTCAGCCCCGTGCGAGTTTTCTGATTGGTGGTTCAGTCTCCACATGAGCCCCCAGTGAGCGCAGGTCAGTTGGCTGTGTGTTTTCCCATGGTGTCTTTGGTCCCCTGGCTCCCATAATCCTTCCTCCCCCTCTTCCACAGGATTTCCCAAGGTCTGCCTAAGGTTTGGCTGTCAGTCTCTGCATCTGTTTCCATTCTACTGAGGCACCTTAGCAGCCTCCTGTTTACAGGGTTTGAAACATTGGGTTAGTTACTTGACATCTTAAAGCACAGTTTCCACATATTAGTACAGCCTCGTAAGTATTGTTTATTATGAGAATTAGATACTGTAATTCATGTAAAACATACAGAGCAATGGTTCTTAGCCTGTGGGTCGCACTTTCTTGGCGGGGATGTGTTGAACATCTCTTTCACAGGGGTCCCATATCAGATATCCTGCATATCAGATATTTACATTATGATTCATAACAGTAGCAAGATTACAGTTGTGAAGTAGCAATGAAATAATTTTATGGTTGGGGGGTCACCACAACATGAGGAACTATTAAAGAATGACAACATTAGGAAGGTTGAGAACCACTGATATAGAAGGTGGCACACAGAAGTAACTACTGCTTTCATGAACGAGTGAATTAGTCTGTTAATGTTTCATGGTTGTTAGCAGAAAACAGAGGACTCCTAAGTCAGAACAAACGTTACTCATAGTCTCATGAAACAAGAGGAACACAGCATTATTTGAGTAGTTTTCCTTGTTCCAAAGTCCTGTGAGGTTAATGAGTATTTGGAGGGACACAGGGATGAGTTAACATCACATCTGTTTATTTCCTAGGAAGCAGATAACATTGTAGCAAACAGCAGTGCTGGTTTTATTTGCCTTGGGAAGGCTTCTGTGCTTGTCTTAGTTCTCTGTTGTCTGTGGACTTAATCACAAAGAAGGCTCATCAGGAAGCCCAGAAGCACTGTGCTTGGGACAGCTCTCCTAAGCAAGGATGCAGAGAGATTTTCAGGCCCAGAACCGCCACCTCACCCAGTAGGTGATGTAATAGATGTTGAGTTCTAGGTATAGTTGTTTACTTTCATTTTCCATTTTAAAGAAATACCATACGCTTTTACTGTATGTTGCTTCATCTTTTTTTTGTCCCTCCTGATTTCTGTGACCTTTGTTTCTTTTGAATTTATCAATATACATTATCTGTCTTATGTTACTGCTTTTTACACACTCAGGCTTGCCCAGTTGCATAATCTGATACCTCTAATCTCTTGTCTACTCCAGTCTCTATCATATTGACAGTGAACTTAGTCCTTGAAAGTCCTTCCACAGTCCTGGTATTTAGAATGTTTCTTTGACATCTTTGCCATTATTCTCCATGTAAATTCTTCCCAGTTCCTTAAATGCTGGTGCATTTCATTGCTGTGAAATAATTAATCCTTTCTTCTGTCGTTTAGCCGCCCTTTGGTTTATTGTTTGC